AATTTCAGATGGTTTGAACTTTGGTCACTAGCGTCCAAGGCACCCTCAGTAGAACATGTTATGTTGGAACAGCACATCTCTAAGACCTTTGGTCACTGAAAAGGTAGTATTCGTGGGAGCAGGACAAAAGCAAGAAACCTCTGAAACCAGGGTTTATAGTATGAAGCAGTCTTTTTATACCTCTACCCCCCTGGATTAAACCCATGGGTGATATATCACAGATCCACATCCCAGCCCTTTTTATTTTTATTTTGAGGCAAGTTACCATGGTTGGCCTTGAATTTGGAATCTTCCTGCTTCAGTCTCCCAAGTCTCTCGAATTATAGGTATGCACGGCTGTCTCATCTGTTTGATGTTGTGAAGGAGGCAGGTTATGGTGGGTCTTCAGTGCGTCTTCTGATCTTTCTTTCTTAGCCCTGAAGTTGCTGACATTTGAGGAAAGAAGCTGGTCAAAGATAAGGAGAGGAGGAGGAAGCCAACCTGGACAGAGTAGGGGCTTGAGAGAAGAGTCACACAGAACCTGCCCTTAAGCATACCTAAGAGTACTGAGAGTTAAATCAGCAGAGAAGAAGAAATTGGTTGAGAAAAGTGGTGGGGTAGAAAGCCACAGGTGATAACTGAGCAGTTTGAAAGGGAATGGGGCACTGGGTATGGTGGCATACCGTTGTAATCCCATCGATTCAGGAGGCTGAGGCAGGATGATTGCAAGTTCAAGGCCAGCCTCAGCAATTTAGTGAGGCCCTAAGCAACTTAGTGAGACTTTGTCTCAAAGTAAAAAAAATAATAATAATAAAATGGGGATGGAGTTCAAGGGTAGCCTTGAGTGCAATCTCCAGTACAAAAAATAAATAAATAAATAACATTATTCTTTCCTTGTGTGGGAGTAGAAAGACATAGGATAGTAGTTAACAGGAGTTGTAGGTGGTAAGAAGGGTTGTAATTTTTTTTTTAAGACTTAGGGATTTGTACAATGACCCAATTCAGGCAAGATGACAAATGTCACAGACTCTTCAGGAGTGAAGGTATGGGTCACACTTCCAGGTAAAGAGCCAAGATCTGCTAAGGTGCTTGCTGAAGGTAGAGGGAATACGGAATGGGTAGTAGAAGGTAGTTATAAATACTAACCACAGCCATGTGACCAGTTACAGAAACAAGGATTGTAATTGCCACTGATAATTCTTCCCTATTCCATTCAGAATATATTTGGCATATTTCCACATTTATTAAGAGGAAATTATTGTTACTCTCCTGTTATTCATCATGTAATGTAATATTGATTGACTTAACATCAGCAATGTTTTTGTTTTTTTCTATTCTGGAGAAAGAACTAGTGCATTGGTTGTAGGAAGGATAGTTATGTTGGGTGGAATTATGACCTCGATATTGTGTTTATTTGGAGATTAAATATGATGTTAAGATTCATATTTGGATATCAATTTGAAAAGGGGTGGACTTGTACTGAGTAACTTGAATCCTCAACTTGATCGGTTGCAGGGATTGAGAGGATTATGGGTGTGTCAATGAGGCTGTGTYTAGGAATGATTGGCATGTGGAAGAGCTAACTGAAATGGAGACTCCCTAAGCATGGGCAGCACCAAACAATAGGTTGATGGCTTGGATGGAATAAAAGTTGGAAGAACAAGGAAACAGCAGCAGAATTCAAGCAACATTCTTCTTCAATGGCTGCTACCATCATCTGAGGATATTCGWCTCTGACAGTGATTCTCTAGAAGGCTTAGGTCTCAGACTAGGGTAGCACTGTTGATCCCCCTTTTTCTAAGGCTTTAGCCTCTTGGACTGTGCAGCTACTGGTTCTTGCAGCTCTCTAGCCTGCAGATGGCCATTGTGGACTATCCAGCCTCTGGTTGCATAAGCCAACCTAATAACTCCCTCTTTTTATAATTATACTTACATTATGGCAAGATTGCAATAAATCACCGAGTGGATCTGAAAAAAAAAAAAAGATTTAGGAATTTGTATTTCGCAAAGGGAGTGAGAATAAATGTTTGAATGGGTATTCTGAGGAGGCAGGAAAGGAGCCTGAGTACAATAATTTGTCTTGGTCAGAAAAAAGTCAGATGTTTGCGACTAGTGGGAAATGCAATCCCCAATTCAGGATTTTTTTTTCTTCAGTACTGGATTGAACCCAGGGTCTTGTCTTTTTATTTTATTTTATTTTTTTATTTATTGGGGGTTGGGGAAGAGGGGATATGGCCAGTGTGTCATTGGGGGGTTCTTCTTCCTGCTGAGGAGGTTCTTCTTCCTGCCACCTGAAAACTTAAAGTCTAAAATAATTAGTGAAGAACAAATACAGGGTCAGAAATATACTTACAAAAGACCTAAG